CCACATAGATTCCAAAGCAGACTACTTACTCAGAACAGTATTCACTTAAGTATGTCTGTTAAGGGTGGCAATGTATTTCAAAAAGGTCACATACTGTTTTACAAGAATCAGCTGCTAACAGAACCAAGCAACAGCTACCTACACCCATCTTAAAATAAGGGTTTAGAAGATATGGAGGAGAGATGGAAGAAAAATAGCAAAAAAATAAAGAGGGAAAATGCATATACACATTCAGAGAGAGGGAGAGAGAACAGTGCATAGCTGAGAATCTGCAAGAGCTAGTGAGTGGCTTTTGTAACTGCCCAACACTGGTAGAAACCAAGAACAAGATTACTTTCAGACCTTTTTTTAAAAAGGGTTTTTTAAAACATTGTTTATTGGTACATTTTAGGTATATATAACGATCACATTCATCACAGGGAAGTTGTACCTGTACCTGACATATCTTTATTCTTTTTTCCCCTTTCCCTACCCTCCCTTCAACCCTGTTCCTCTCCTGTACAAAGCTTTGCTCATTTTATCCTTTTCTTCTCATATTTTTCTTTTACCTTCCTTCCTTTCCCTCTCCTCCCTCCCCTGTTCCTCTTTCCATTTAACATCTTCTTATTTTACAATATCTATTATACACTTTGGTCCTTATTTATACTTTCTGTTTCTCACACCAGAGAAACAATTTGATATTTACACAGGCCTGATTTATTTCACTTAAGATGATGGTCTCAAGGTGAATCTATTTTACTTAGAATTGTCTCAAGCTTCTCCTTCTTTATGGCTCTGAGTAGTACTCCACCCCATAAAAAAAATCATTAGTTGATAAGCATTTGGTCTGTTTCCAAGATATAGTTATTATAAACTGTGCTGTTATAAACATGAGTGTGCACATGAATTCCCTGATGAATGTGATCATATGTATACCTAACATATACCAATAAATGTATCACTGTGGTATGATGCTTTTAATTCTTTCAAGAAGATACCAAGAAGGGAAATAGTTGGGCCAAATAGAACCTCGCATTTTAGTTTTTTGAGAATCTCCTCACTGATTTCCACAGTGGCTGCACCAGTCTGCACTCCCACCACCAGTGGAGAAGGGTTCCTCCCCCCCACCCCCAGCCCTTCCAGCATTTGTTATTGGTTCATTTTTTGACAACAGCCATTCTTTCTGGAGTAAGATAGAATCTCAGTATTGTTTTAATTTGCATCTCTTGAATGACCAGTGATGGTGAACATTTTTTCATATATTTAGTTGCTGTTTCTACTTTTTCTAAGAAGTATCTGTACCTTCCAGATGCCCATTTTTTTTTTCTGGGTACTGGGGATCAAACTTACAACCTCACACTTGCCAGGTGGGCACTGGGCCCCTAAGCTATATCCCCAACCCCCAGGTACCATTTTTGGATTGGGTCTTTAAATTTGAGAGGTCTGCTCTTTTTTCTTGAGTTCTTTATATATTCTAGATATTAGTCCTTTGTCTGAGGAACAGATGGCAAATTTTTTTCTCCTACACTATGGGCCATCTCTTACTGTTTTGGTGGTTTCTCTTGCTATGGAAAAGCTTTTGATAAGATGAGTCAGATCTTTTTGTTTTATAGGTCATTATCTTCTATAATACTCGAACAACTCACTTTCCAATCTGACAAATCCTGTTAGTTTTTACCCATGGTTACATTACCTGAAGATCTCTGTTACATTTACTCTTTCCATCCCAAATTTATCATCCTGATGTTTATGTTTCCAGGTTCTTTTGATGCCAACATTATTCTTCTAACATTTATGTTCATATTCTCCACTCCTCATAGCACAACTAACTTTCTGTCTCTGTCTCTGACTTACATCTGTGTCCATGGGGAAAATCTATTTATTACTACTGTACAGGCCTCCTCCAAATTTGCTTCTTTTTATCATACTTTTCAGTATGACATTCAACTAGATGCTCATCCACCTAAGAGTAATACCTAATAGAGTAAGAGTAATGCCTAATAGAAAATAGTTTACTGTCTGCTTATGTCTAATCCAAAAAAAAAAAGATAAAATGGAAGCACAGCAGAAGCGGTGCTAGGGTTTACATCTAAAATGTCCCCAACAGTGTTGAGTTCAGAGGTGGTGCTTCTGCAAGGTGCCAGGATCATGGGAACATCATCCTCATCAATGGATTAGTCCACAGATGAGGTCATAGCTGACTGTGCTGTTAGCTCTAGGGGCAGGATCATGAAGGGTGTACTCTTGTCACTGGCTTTTCCCTTCTCCCTCTGCTTCCTGACCATGACAACAGCAGCAGCTTCCTCTACCACGTCTTTTTATCATGCTGTTTCTGTCTTGCAGTCTGCTGCCATGGACTGAACTAGTGAAACTGAGGCCCAAAATCAACTCCTCTTTTACATCGTGGGTGCCAGACATTCTGACCCAGCAACCAGACTAATAAAAGCAGTATACAGTAAACCAGAGTCAGACACCTAGGATCACATCCTGACTTCACCATCTAAGTCTGAGCATAATATTTCAGCTTCACTTAGTCACTAAGTTTCATTCTCTTGATCTATAGCACTGTGGGGCTTTGCCACCATATAAGGTTGCTAGGAGGGTGAGATGAGATAGATATTTACGTAAAGTACTGACCATAATTTCTGGCAAACAGTACATAGTATAAACAAATATGGCTGACATTATTGTGTTAGATAAAACTTGTCTGCTGGACTGTCTTCTGAACTAAAAGAAAACTAATTTAGCTTAACTTATTCTTTACAACATTATATTGACTGCTTCCCCCAAGAAAAGATGCTACCAGAGTGAAAAATTATTCTGTAATCAGAAAAAACTAGTTACTTGAGAGAGATTATGATGAACTGTAAACAGGTCTCTTCAAGTTCTAACCTATATGAGACAACTTAAAACCTTTAGAATTTTGGCCTTCAAATAAATAACAAACATTTTACAACCAAGTCAGTAAGCGAGTATGTGCCCTAAAACTTAGTTTGAAAATACTCTTATTTACAAGACAGCAGTCATTAAAACACATAATATAGAATGGAGAGAAAAAGAATGTTGAGATAGAGCTTATGGATCACATCACTGAAACATCTTACTTGCCATTTCTAGCAAAACCAAAATGCAAGGTAGATGGCTCAAGTGAAACATAGGAAAATGAAAGCCAAGCATAACCAGAATTTAAACTTTTTACTCTGAGCTGTACATAGTGGATTCGTGATACTTAATATGTATTCAGTAGCAATAAACACACCATTTTACAAATCCACGCAATTGCCAGGGCACTAGCCACAAACTGCCAACCCTAGAAAGAACTCTCAAAACCACAAATCACGAGCTAATTAAGCTGACACTGTCACTTCCTTCAGTATTTCTAGGAAGGAATTTAGAAATACTAAATATTGAAGTAATTAAAAGATTTCAATATTGAGTTATAGTCTTTGCATTCTGGTGTTCTTGGCACCCAAACAAGCTATTCAGTGTGAAAAAAAATAACAGCTAAACCCTGCCACCAAAACAACAACAAAAAAGTTTTCATAAACTTCAACAAGGCACTAAGTAGTTTTTAATCTGACTGGACATCGTGTATCTCTTTTGATAATTTTATTTTTTTTGACTGGGAATCATACTCAGGACCTTGCACTTGCCAGGCAGGTGCTATGCTGTTGAGCTACATCCCCGGTCTAACTTTATTTTTTAAAAATCCAAAAAGGGATTCCCTTTGAGGAAAAAAACTCAGTTGAAAATATTCTGCATATAATTTCAGGGGTGGGAATGAACAGAACCTTAAAAATCACTGAAATTTTACCCCTACCCCCCAATTCATAGCCCATGATTAAGGCAAATCGTAATCCCAAGGAAAACTAATTTATCAACTTGAAAAGGAACCAAAGTAACTTAAGTAGCTATTTCAATCCAGAAAATAAAAGTAGGAATAAAACTATTTTCTGTTTTCCTAGATAAAAAGTATTAGTGTTTGTAGCAGGGGTGGTTGATCACACTGAGCCAGGAAAACAAAACAAAGCAAACAAAAACAGGACAAACGGAAGAAAAGTATAAAAAGTATACGTAGCCTACGAAGTACTCCCTCTGAAAGAGCAGTGATGAACCGGCCAATACCTGCAGCAGTGGACTAAGGGTTGCCTGAGCGAGCAGCCAATGGGGTGCACCTTTCTAAGTCAACGCAGTTTATTAAGCAGCAAAGGGGAACACACCCTGACAGGTGAAAGAACACGTTGATGAAAACTCCTGCAATTCTTCCCTTTTTTCTTATCAAATATGAACTGAGTAAATACGCTTTGAACTAGGAGAAGAAAATGAAAGAGGGAAGAGGGACAGGATTCCTAAAAAAGAGTGGCAACACGATGTACGGGAAAAGGAAGGAGCAAATTTTTGAGATCAAGAGGTTTAAGAGGAAAGTAAGAATAAAGCAGAGGAAGCAATAATAAAAGAAGGAAAAATGCAGCGTCTAAAACCTGCTTTTTCAAAAAAAGTGCAACTCTCTTTCCTTTTCCTAGACACGTAGGCAGTAGCGACTTGGCAAAGAGGAACGAGCCACAAGTCACAGCCACGAACTCCAGCGTGCCTTGGACGTCCCAGCAGGCACGGGCAGGCTGGGACATTTCCTGGGCAAGGCTCCTTCTGCACGGCGGCCAGGGAACCTCTCGGAGGGACCACCACCGCCTCCCGCCCTCTCACGACGGGAGAGAGGAAGTGGGGGGCTGCAAGGAGGAGAGGGGTGAGGGCTGCACGCCAAGCCCGAAGCCCGCCGGTACCGAGGCTCGGTTGGTATCCGCACCGAGCAATCTCTTCCCACCGAATCCACGCAGAGCCGGGGGTGCCACCGTAAAGGGCCCCTCCAGACCCTTTCCCCTGCAGTTTCTGGGGCACCCGCAACCGCCAGGAGGAATGCAGGGGGCGAAAACCCCAGGCACCGGGCTTGGGAAGACACGGCGCGCGCCGAGGACTGAGCACCCACGTCCCTGCGCCCCGCGCCCGGCCCGCTCCACCCTCACCTGTCCGCTGGGAACCCGGAGCTCCCAAACCGAGGACTACCGCCGCCGCGGCGCTCTGGAATCTCCGGCACCCTGCAAGAAGTGAGCGGAAACGCGACGCGGGATCGCTCTCTTCGCCTCCCCCACGAACCTCGGCGCCCAGGGGCGGGGAGCAGCTGCAGCTGTCACCGCCTCACACTGACCAACCCGCGAAAACACTCAGGCCGACGACCTCCCACCCCGGCCTCTAGAAGCAACACCCGGAGCAGCGAAGCCGGAAGTGAGGCGACCGGAAGTCGCGTGGTCCCGGGCCAGGACGGCCGGCCTCTCTCGCCCTAAACCGGGCCGCTGCGGCCGCGTCTCGGTGGTGCCAGCGAGCCTCCCAGGCTGGCCCCGCCCATCCTGCTGCGGCCCTAGCAACCACATCCGGGGCTTCGCCGGCGTGGTTGCCCGGGTAGCGTTCGGGCTGCTGGAGAGGCGTGGAGCAGCCTAGTACACTCGGCTCGCCAGGCGCAGCAGCCGGAGCGGGGAGCTTCCGACGGGGTGTGCGGGCCGGGCCTGCGGCCCTGCGCTTCGCTTCTTTCTCACACACTTCGGCCCCACGCTTTGGGTGGAGGTGGACGTAGCTCACCGCCACACTACCAAGGGAGAGCGGCCGCCGGGGAGCACGCAGAAGGTTACTCCAGGCTGCGGGCGGGGTGGGGCGGGGCGGCGGGGACTGGGTTCCCCTCGCCCGCACCCCGGCCGCGCCTGTGACGCCCCTCCCTCAGCTCATGGCACCGCCTCTCCCCTGCGATCTGTAGCTGCTAGCTCGCGCGTCGACTATAGATCACTCCTTTCTTTTCTGTTCCTGTTTTCCCACATAGCCGAGCTCTGCTTTCTTTGCCCGCTCCAGTCCTTTTTAGGTAGATCACTTTCCTGTCTGGAGAAACCACTGCACCATCCCTTCTCGCGGCCCTTCTTAGATCCCTAAGTAGGGGCCACCTCCTGCGCTTCGGGTGCTTGTCGCATCCCTGCACTGAGAGGAGGGAAAGTGACTGCGCAGTTCTACTAGACCCAAATGAAGCTTATTCGCATATGGTACTTACTATATATAGTCGACGCATCCGCACGCATCTCCCTTTAAACCGACAGGCTGTTTTTCCTTCGACAGCCTTGGCCGCTCACTTTTATTCTCATGTCACTTGTAGAAAAGCAAAGGGTAGCTGTGCTCAGTGGGACAGGGCTGGGTATGGTTCAGTGGTAGAGCACTTGCCTAGCATGCACAAGGTCCTGAGTTTAATTCCCAGTACCACCAAGGGGCATTCATCTCTCTTTAGCCAGTACTAGCACCTACCTTTCTCTGACAAGACAAGGCAGAATTCTGCCTCTACACTACTCCAGAGAGTTTCAGTATAGTGACAAAATGTCTGTACGGACATCTTCCCCAGATTCATGTGTAGTAAATACCTGTGACACTACAAATACTTCAAGTGCCAGTAACAATATTGTCTGAGATCTCCGGGATTCCACCTCTTACAAAAATAGTACTGAAATTCTCAAGCGTAAATCTAGTATAAAGGGCCCTTCCTTATCTTAAATGATTTTATCTTTACTAAAGAAACCAGCTCCGCAACCTACTCGGGACCAATTCGGTCTCTCTCGGACAGAAGCTTTCTTTCTCACTAAATATATTCTACTCTTAAAAAGAAAGAAAGATTATATGTGCCAACTCATTCAGATCATAGCTTCAGTTCTACAGATTACTGCAGATTTTTGTTCAAAATCATCCTCTGTGGAGCCCTTTGGTCTGCTCAATTTAGAGTATTTCTTGCTCTTACTGTTGAGGGACGGAGTAGCTACAGAATTTGTAGCTAAGTAGAGGTGTTACTCCTAGGATTTCCAAACACTGCTCAGCTGTGCTTGAATGATATAGACATGACGACTTAACTCTGGCTGGCTATTCCCTTAAGGAGTCTTGCTTACTGTCTCTTAAGATTCTTAACCTTACTAAAGTTAGTCTATTAGCCTGTTAAAGGTGTTTCTTATATTAGAAAGGTGAACACTTACTTTGGCAATTTGCCCGTAGCTGGATAGTTTCCTTGGCAGCTGCTGTGGGTTTTTAATAGTCTTGTGGAATTACTCAGAAGTAATCTTAGTTTTTCCCTGGTGATGTTACTATTAATTTTGTCAGATACTCATCATAGACTCTCACCTTTCTACAGGTGAGATAAGATTCTGGTACTGTTCATTATTCTCATCTTGTGTTGTGCAGAGAACTAATGTGTCCATGACTTCTATTGCCATAAGGGAAGTTAGAATTTGGACTGAAAACTGGGCTGGGGATATAGCTCAATGGCATAAACACCTGCCTGAAATTTTTCACTTTAAAATATTGTGCTGGGAATCAAATCCAGGGAATAGAAAAATTTTTTGCTACTAATCAAAAGACTTATTAAAATTAATCAATTAATTTTGTGATACTGGGGATTGAACATAGGGCCTTCATGCTGAGCTACATCCCCAGCCCTTTATTTTTATTTTAAAATAGTTTCTCACTAAGTCACTTAGTTTCCCAGGCTAATCTCAAGCTTGCAATCCTCCTGTCTCAGCTGCCCAGAGTGCTAGGATTACAAAATTTATTTTAATCCTAATCCTGTATAGATGGAGACTTGTTTTCCTCTCCTTCCTCCCGAATTTCTTCTTCCTTTTCTTCCTTTTCCCTGAAGTTAGAGGAATTTCACCTTGCTATTCTGTTTAGGAAGAACGGATTATGACTTCCAGCTGACATTTATGATTGGAGAAAGAAGGAAAAGGGGCCTTCCAAGTACATTTATCATGTAGAGATTACCCACTCTTTTATTCAGCTTTTTAAAAATTAGATACAATGTATTCACTGCATTTGGGGAGAACTCCAGTGGCCTTCTGTTTTGTCACCAGGCAGGAAAGGAGACAACAGGTTAAAACATACTGCTTTTAATCCTTTATCTCTGATTTAGATGCTAAATGCTATATAATACTTATCAATATTTTCTCAAGAGGTAGCGAGGCATGGTGTTGCATGTCTGTAATCCCAGCACTCAGGAGGCTGAGGCCGGAGGATCACCACAAATTTGAAGCCGCCCTCTGCTACATAGTGAGTTCAAGGCTAGCCTAAACTACAGATGAGATACTGTAGTTTAAATTCTTTTTTTTTTTTTTTTTGTCTTTTTACTTTTTATCAGTACCGGGGATCGAACTCACGACTGCCTGCTTGCAAGGCAGGCGCTTATGCCGCTGAGCTAAATCCCCAGCCCCCAAGATACTGTAGTTTTAAAAAAAAAAGAAAAGAAAGAAAGTTGCCACCTTTAGGTATTTGCTATGGGAATGCTGGTGATATCTCAAAATTCCCTAGTTCTTCATAGTAGCTGTCTGCATAACTGACCACAGGATTATTCCTTTGGAAACAAACTGTATTAGAAGATGCTGAATAATGATGGAACATTTTAAGAAGCCCCCAAGTAAGTGGGGTGCAAAGTAAAGGCATTCATTGTGAGTTACTAGCACTTCTCAGATTTGAACTGCATACTTTTTTTTTTGGTACTGGGAACTGAACTCAGGACCTTGTGCTTGCCAGGCAGGCACTTAAACCTCTGAGTTATGTCCTCAACCCCTTCTCAGATTTAAAAAATAGAACAGTTTTGTAGCATGTCCCTGACAAACTTACCAATGTTAAGACTCCAAGCATGGCTTCTTTCCAAAAGCGACAGAGTGCTCTTACGCGTTTATTATAACCTGGGAGAGTTTCTTGTGTGATTCTTTCATCCTCCCATTCTGTGTGCCATTCATTGAGGGCATACTGAATGAATTCCAACTCCTTCTTCTGACACCCAAGGCTTACCAAGGTCTGGTTCTAGCTTTGCTTTCCGGTGCTGTTAGTCTGCAGTCCCCTAGTGAGTGTTCTCTTTTACATATCTGGAGGAAAAGTGCTCATTAGGCAACAGATACAGGTATCACTATGGATAGGCAGATGTCATTACATAGAACTGCCAGTACTTCATAAGCTTGCATCTGCCCGTTTTACTCTATATTCTTATCAGCAGAAGTGTTTGCCTGCCTCTCCTTACCTGCCATGTACTTAGCCATCACTCATAGTTGAGCTCAAGTCCTGCTTCAGTTACAAACCCATTCTTTATCCTGCTTGTGAGAATTCACTTTTCATCCCTATTTTGATCCCATGGCCCTTCATTTTGGCCCCATGTTAAGTTTGCCTTGTATTTCTGTCTGCACATCTGTCTCCTGGGATATTTTTTGGGAGACTTAACTTGGACTCTATTTTTTCATGGCACTAGGACACTGTCCTTGAGTTATAGAAACATATGGTCTGATGATCCCCTGGAAGTTCCAGAGGCTGCTTATGTGAATAGTGTAGGAAGGATTGTGTGGACATAATTGCTATTTTTGAAAGACAAAGATTGAATGCTAACAACAAAAACTGAGTTTATCGTTTACCTACCTTGAGGGAATATTCAACATTTTGGTCAGTATCTGTGGTAGTCACTTTCCTTATCTCTGTCTGGAACACAGTGCCTGACACCCACAACATAGACGAAGAGAGGTTTCCATCTGCAGGAGGCTGGCTCCAGGGCAGGAGGCACACAGTGGAAAGTCCTGGGTGGCAAGCCGAGAGAGTCCTGGGAGAAGGCGGAAGGGGAAGGGTCCTGAGCCCTTCTAGGACATGCCCCCAGGAACCTTCCTCTTTGGAGACCTCATCTGCTATCAGCAAGTTAGGTAGAAACCCTCAATGCCAATCACTTTCCAGAAGCTCTGCCTGAGGCCCTGGGGGAACATCTAGATATAAAGCATAACGATGTCTTTTCTGTTGTTTGTTTCATCCACACACACACTCATATACACACAGTACTTATCATCATTTACTTGTTATTGAGAATCTGTTGGCTTGGACTGAACACTATAGCAATAATGTGAGTCTCTACCCTCATGTATTCAGAATTTGTTGGCATATGCTTTGTATTTTGCATTTTCACTTAGTGTATCATTTTCCTCCTGCCATTGAATGCTGTCCTTCCGTGGCTTAACAGAATTTTAGCACATAGGTAGATGCTCTTTGACTGAACCTTTTGTTGTACATTCAGGTCATTGTCTATTTTGCCTGTGATTATATGACAACAGTATGAGGACTATTCTCGTGTGGTATGCAGAATTCTAAGATGACCTCCAGTGGCCCTCACCTTTTATTCCCCGACCTGTGAACATAATAAGATAACACTCTGGTTATGTTATGCTACATACCCGGAAAGTCTGCAGATGAAATCAGTGTTAATCATTTGGCTTTGTGTTCATCAAAGGGGGGTAATATGAACAACCCCAACACAACACAAGGGCTCATTAAATGCAGAGGATTTTCTCACACCAGTGGCAATGCAGGAAGCCAGATTCAGAATGTCTAGGAGATTCCACGGGAGAAATTCTCTGTGGTAAGATGAAGAGGGCTATAGACAGGGACTTGATGGGATGCTCTGGGAACTGAGAGTGGTCTCTGCCAACACCCAACAAAAATGCCAAGGACCTCATTGCTACAACAGCAAAGAATGAATTCTCCAAGTGGCCTGAATGAGCTTGGAAACAAATTGTTTCCCAGAGTATGCAGTTAACAGTCCTCCCCTGACATCAGGATTTCTGCTTTCTGAAACCCTAACCAGTGGAGCCAGGGGAACCCTCCGGACTTCACACCCCCAGAAGTGCGAGAGCATCCATGGCAGTTGTTCTGAGCCACTAGCACAGAGTAATCTATTACCTATCAATAACAAATTAACACATTTCTAGTAAGTTATTTTTACATCTAAAATTATTCTTTCAGAATAAAAATCCTAGACAGAGTCTATCTGGATAAGGTTATGTATATTTTTAAGATTTCAGTTACTAATTTGCCCTCCATAAGCTTGGTACCAATTGTGTGCCTCCTAAGCACCTATGTACTGTACGTTGGCAAACACTAGATGCTGCCATTCTGATATGCAAAAACAAAAGGTTATCTCATTTTATTTCATGAGACAGGGTCTCTCTGTGTTGCTCAGACTGGCCTCAAAGTTGCAATCCTCTTGCCTCAACCTCCCAAGCGTTGGTATTACGAGTACATACCATCACGACTGACATGGTATTCCTTTCTTATTGCTGTTAGGATTGAGCATTTTCTTCATTTGGAGTTCAGTGGTTAAGTCTTATGTAGTGAAGCAACAGTAACTTTACTGTTGACATTGGGAAAATATTCCCTAACACGCAGAATAGTGTTTCTCTGCCATAAAACGTTCAAAGGGCAAAGTGATTAAAGAGCTTAGTTGAGAGGATGAATACTTCATAGAAATAAGAGTTACTGCCATTTTTCCCTGCAAAATAGCATACCAGATATTGTATTGTAGGAGGCTTGAGAACATCCATTTCATTGGTTAGCCAGTGTTGATACTTTATGCTTTTCTATAGGAAAAAAGTCCCTTTGCCTTGTTTGGAATTATATATTTTGATTATTTTATGAATATATTGTGAAAAAATTTTCATGAAAAATTATAACTTTGCTGTTTTGGAAGGAAAAAATACTGTTAATGGGGGCTAAGATCTTTCTATCACTCCTTTCAATTTGATCAAGATAACCTATAATCTCTGATTATACATAGAAATTTAGTAGTCCTTATTTGACATGCTTGGGGCCAGAAATATTTCATGTTTGAGGTTTATTCAAATTTGGATTACTTGCATAGACTTAACAAATGAACATCCATAATCTATAAATCCATTGAATTTCAGATTTTTGGGTTAGGAATGCTCCACCTGTATGACATTATTTTAACCCAGATGCAGTAAGAGGAAATTCAAGTTTTATAGATACATGAAGAAGAGTTTTTCCCGCAGCTGCCTGCTCATATCTCATTTACCTAGAAAGGCTAGAACTCCTAATCCTATACTTCCAGGAGGCCTGACATGGCTGTTTTGTTGTTTATTTGTTTTGTTTTTTGTCTAGGTAGATGTTGGAAATACTAACTTGGTGTGAGGGGCATAAAATGTATCACTGTGATCAGAGAAAGTCCACCAGTGTGATTTAAGGGTGCTATAATATAGTGAAAAGAATGTGGAGTTGGTGTTTTAAAAGCCTGGATTCTGGACTGCACCCAACCACATAATAGTTTGATCACTGAAATCCAGCTTTAATTTTCTGATCAGTTATTTGAAATACAGATAGTAAAGCAATTTGGAAACCAAAACCCAGGATTATTATATGACCTTTTTTGTATGAGTATTCCTCCTTTATTCCTCTGATAAAAACTCCTTTGAGTTGGACAACAGAGACTGAAGTATTTTGATAAAACATTTTGTCAAAAAATTTTGTGCAAAAAAGATGTTCAAGTCATCAGCAAAAAACCCCGGAGTGCCCACCCTCTCTTGCCGTCCTCTAATGATCTTATCTTGGACCCTGTCAGGCCAGAGCTGAAAGACTGAGAGCATTTGGAGCCCTGTGACTGTTCTCATGGTTCTGTTGAGTGATGGAAGAGAACTCCGTGCTTTCACTGTGTGTTTGGAGAGAGATTCTTGCTTCCATTTGCAAGGGGAATTTCCTAACATCCCTGAATTGTAGAGTCATACAGCTGAAGGATTTAAGGGAAAAGATAATGCTGGTGAGATCATTATACATTTGTCAAGCACTGTCTATACATGCTAAGTGCTTTGCAGTCTTTTACTAAATCTCATTGAATATGCAAGAACCCTTATGAGGTAGGTCCTATGGTTACCCCCATTTTACAGGTAAGGGACCTGGAACTTCAGTGGTTAAGTAAATGTCTCAGGATCCCATAAATACTAAATGACATTATTTCTCTGTTCAGATCTGTATAGGACCAAAGTCCTATAACCTTATTTATACTATGATAAGTCCTTTTTTTAATACTTGAGAAGTAGAAGTCCTTCGAGGGTAAGAACCAGAGTCACCCTACTTCCTACTCTGAGTCTAGAACCCCTGTCTACATTATATCCTCTTATTTATTTGTTTATTCCTATTCATTTTCTCAAGTATTTGTGGCCCATGTACATTTTACTCAGGTATTCAATTGATAAATAAGTTACTGAACTTTTAAGCTTTGAGGTGGAAGGTCATTTAGATTTTTAAAACTGAATTATTAATGTCCTGAATTTTTTCTTAGTGAAGCATTTTCTACCAGACTCCTATAAAGAGCCAGTGTCTCCTATGTGCTATTAAAAGTCGAGCCTTGTGACCACTGTCTGACTGTGTGTTTTTCTTTTAGAGAAGTCAGAGAGTGCAGTATGTGACCTCGTGTAAAAATAGCCATCAAGGATCTATCCAACATCATTTTTAGTTCTTTAGTTTTGGCGAGCCCACATTTTAAAAACAGATTGAATTTGTCTGATTTGTTTCGAGTATATATTAGAACACATTTGCAGACAAGTGGGGATTCGGGTGCAGAGCAGAGCTAGAGAACTTTTACAGAGAGCCCTTCAGGTGGTAAGCATTTCTCTTAGAAATTTTAGTTATTGCATTTTCAGAAACATTATCCCATTATTTTCATTGTTATTAAGAATATAATAATTGATATATCCATATTTTTAAACTTTTAATTAACGTATTACTAAAACTGCATTTTCTAAAACATTTTTAAGAAAGAAGACAACTTCTAGAAGGATTCTACCATTTCCTTCTTTACCCTTGAAGAGGCTTGAAAATGAATGGATAACATTTCACATGAAATTTTTGAATGTATTTTCTCCTTATCTGTGAGGCCTTCTGCGGAGAATTAATAGGAGGTAGTTGAATGCATGCATAGATAAAATGGGTCATCTTAAAGGCTTGCAGTTCCAAAAATACATGGGCAAGACTGGACAGGTTTGACACAATGAGATTTCTATTTTAGCTTGACTTCTGGAACCGAATACACTGTAAACTGAACTGTGCAAAGTCCGAAGAAGGAAGTTTCTCTTCTAAAACATTCTAGTTGCATATAACATTCTTCTCCTTCAGATCCTTTTGAGAAAAATATATTTAGTCATCAGTTTCCGGAGGAGTAAGACATTTCCAACTTGTAATCTATGAAGTGCGATAGAAAGCAATAATCTATATTTTACCGAAACACGGGTTTAAAGAAACAGAGGCATGGCAGGAAGCGAAGAAAGCGCTGCAGCTGTGCAGGCCGAGGTGGCAGAGGCTGCTGGGGCCGCCTCCTCTCTGCCGGCCACAGTGAAGAAAAAGAAGAGCCTGTCCATTGAGGAGAAGATTGACATCATCAATGCCGTGGAGAGCGGCAAGAAGAAAGCAGAAATTGCGGCTGAATATGGAATAAAGAAAAATTCACTGTCTTCTATTATGAAAAATAAAGACAAAGTCCTAGAAGCCTTCGAATCTCTGAGATTTGATCCAAAAAGGAAAAGACTGAGAACTGCTTTTTATACCGACCTGGAAGAGGCATTAATGCGGTGGTATCGGATCGCTCAGTGTCTAAATGTACCGGTTAATGGCCCAATGCTGCGTCTCAAAGCTAATGATTTTGCCCAGAAGCTGGGCCATAATGATTTTAAGTGCAGTAACGGTTGGCTGGATCGTTTTAAATCTAGGTACGGCTTAGTATTCAGAGCTCAACCTGCAGAAGCTTCAGGGATTCCTGTAGATCCTTCAACTGTGTGGTCTCAAAATGTGCTTCCTTATTATTTAAATGATTACCACCCTAAAAATGTTTTTAACATCAAAGAGACGGCGCTGCTTTATAGAATGTTACCTACCAACACATTTGCATTTAAAGGAGAAACATGTTCAGTCGGAAAGTTATGCAAGGACAGGATAACTCTGGTTGTTGGTGCAAACATGGATGGCTCAGAGAAACTTCCCTTGCTTGTCATCGGCAAAAACAGGAACCCGCATTGCTTCAGAGGTGTAAAATCACTGCCTGTGTATTACGAAGCTAACAGAATGGCGTGGATGACCTCAGATATCTTTGAGCAATGGATGCAGAAGCTTGATGAAATATTTCAAGCCCAGCAACGAAGAGTGGTGATTTTTGTTGATTCTTTTCCTGCACATCCAGAGGTCAAGAGCCTAAAATCCATTGAGTTAGCGTTCTTTCCATCGTGTTTATCTGCCAAATACATAGCTATGAAGCAAGGAGTTATCAAAAGTCTTAAAATTAAGTATCGACACTGTCTCATCAAGAAATTTTTAAACTCCGTTGAAAGTAGCAAAGAATTCACCTTTTCACTGCTAGATGCGGTGGACACATTGCATCTCTGCTGGAGGACTGTGACCACAGAGACTATTGTTAGAAGTTATGAAGAAGCAGGATTCAGATCTCAGAAGGAAGAGCGTGGCCCAGCGGATGGACAGACTGCTGGTGGTCTGGATCCGGTTGCGCAGGCCGTAGGGGCAGGAGTGGAATTTCCGGAAGGTTTGTCTATAGAGGAGTACGCGGCCCTGGATGAGGACCTGGAAACCTGCGAGGCAGCTGCAGACGACAGCTCTGAAGGCACCGAAGAAAGCAAAGCAGACGAGCCTGGATTTTACAGTTCCGATGAGGAGGAGGACGGCGGAGCTCTGGAAACCCCACCACCTTTACCATCAAAGAATGAAGCGGTGATTGCCTTGGACACTCTTAAGAAATTTCTGAGAAGCCACGAGATAAAGGATGAACTTCAGAATTCTTTAGCAGACCTTGAAAATTTTATGAACTCTTTGTCACCTACATAATTATTCGTTGTCCATCTGAAGAAGAGTTGCTTTTCTTGATGTATTTTGTTATAAAAGGTATGTGAAGGGGAATTACCTCCTAAAGGTTAAAAAAAATAAAAAACTAGTAATCTTTGCTTTAATGCAAAAGGCTTTGGTCAGAATAGCAAAGCTCCCAAGTAAATGATGATTAAATATAATTAGGTGAAATTCTACAGCAAGATTGAGGGGAGCAGGAAGCATGTTTCAGAAGCATTGTATTTGATACATGTAGTGTATATAAATATATAAAATGACTGTTCAGTTATCTGCTTTACACACACTGGAATCGGTGACTGCTCTGTGTTTTATAAAGTTCAAATCATATTCTAGAATACTTTATCTGCCTAGTGCCTAAGAAACAAATATCAATAACTTAGATATTTATTTTTATAAAGATATATATATACATATATATGCCATGTATCCTGATAGACTTTAGAGTATCAAGTATCAAAGTAGTTTTAAATTATTTTTCTTATAGCTAAATTTCTTAAAAAGAAACTGGGAAAAGCTACTAAAACTAGACACAGTGGTACACTGAAAATAAACTCTGATATAGCTATATACCAAAATGATTAAAAATATATGTGTTACTTTCAGGTTATTTTTACAAAAGGTCAAATTAAAGATTATGACCATATCAGGGTTTTTTCATCTATAGTCAGAAAATATGGATCCTTCTTAAATATACATGTGTTAAATGTATGTGTGTGTGTTTAACAGAAAAGTGCTTTCTTGCAACATTTATTAAACTCTTGTGATATTTATATTTTAACAAGATTATTCTTAGAAGATTGATGTACAAATACATGTACTAAAATAATGTAAAAATACATTTACTAAAAAAAGAAAATATATGATACTTAGATATTTTTCTAATTTTAACATCTTAGGGTTTTAATCTAAATATTAATAATTTTCTTGGTTTATTGAATTTTATTTTCAGAAAAGACAAAATGTTCTGTCAGCATAATTTGATGTATTTAATCTTCCCCTTCCAAAATTTAATGAGTAATGTTTTGGGTTAAAATTCTGCTTAAGGAAGTTTTATCTGTGAAATGCTTTTTAAACAACTGTGTGAAATTATTTAACCTCTAGTGTTTAAACAGTAGACAATTATAGCAATGCACCAGACTTGTCCCTGTTACATTTTAAACACTATCCCTATTTATTACAGCTAAGTAGTGGACAGTTTGGAAAGTATTTTGTAAAAATATAAAATACACAGATAATTTTTGGTATGAATTACCAAACAGATGGCATTCACTTGAAAGAAATAGTTACAGAAAGCATTTTTATTTTCTTTTGTTGATTTACTCTTGCTTTTGAGATTTACTAATAGTAAGACTTTTATAATGATATTAAGGGAGTCTCTTTTGAAGTGAAATATAGATTATTTAAGTTAAAAGCATTTATAATGACTTGATTTAGAATTTTAATTTGATAGAATCATGAACCTAAAAGGAACTCTTAAGACTCTCACTTGTAACCATAATACCTCGCATATTATGAGCCTTACATGATTTTTTTCTTTCTCCACATAATGCTTTTTGTTCTTTTGATTGTTGATTATCTCAGATACTCTATGATATAAGAATTATCTTCATATTTACAAATGAGGAGATTAAAACTTGGAAGGGTAAAATGATTTGGTTAAAACCTCAGAGTCAAAACTAAAATGCAGTAGTTCCCATCATGTAGTCCTGCATCCCCTTCATCATGTGCCACAGTGCTTTGCATCTGCCCTGAATAAAAGAAAATTCTACTCTTTTCCTTTGAGGATTTAGTGGATCCCTCAAGGTCTTACCTGAGCAATTACTAAGGAAATACCGAGATACCTTCTGATTTAGTAATTGTTTTCCACTCTCCTAGAGGTTCCTTTATATTTCTGTTGAAACTATTTAAAATAACTTTAATATTTCTGAAGTGTTGAAAGCACCTATTCTTTTTCTCTCCAAATGACAGGATCAATTTCTTACTTGTAAATACCTATGAGTCATAATAAAGTTAGACAAAAGTGCATAAAATTTGAATAAGAAAAAAGTGCCTGGAGATTTAAATTCAAAGATAAACTTTAAGTTGTTAATGCTGTGCACTTCCCTGTGTAGTTTATAAGACATATAGATTTAAACAATTTTTGGAAAAAGAATGTAGAAATTAATATTCTTAGTACATAAACAATCACTACGGTGCACCTCCTAATTTGTCTTCTCTATACAGTCAATACAAAGTCAGAAATAAATGTCATTTGTCATTTCAAAAAATAACTTGATTTATAGTCTACCTGTTTTAAATTAAATGTGTCCTTAGTTTCATCCTTACTGCCTTATAAAGTTCTCCTGTTTCAACGGTGTCTGCTTCTTTTTATTTCATCGAGAGTGAGTCTTACATCAAACTGAGGACATTGTTTCACAATCTCTGGCTGTGGAACTACTAGTGAAAGGTTTGGTTCAGGATAAAATAGGACAGTGGTAAAATCTAGGCCCGTGGGTCTCCTGTTGTCTACCTGGCCTCTCCATTAGACCTGTCCTCAAGTCTCAAACCTTCCTTTTGACTGTACATAAGGCAGATTAATTGGGTAGGAGGAGGAGAAGTCCCTTTGGTGGCCCAGGTTAGGGTCTCCAGTTCTGTGGGGACGGATGGTGAGAGGTTTGACCCTCAGAAGGGCCAGTGGCACATCATTCAGCAGTTTCCCAACCCAGGGCTGGGCTGAATCTCCGAGGCTTTGGAAGTGACCTGAGCTAAGCGTAGCATGGAGTGAATCAGTCAGGAGGTTCCATCAGTTGCTAAGAGATGATCCCACCACCTTAAAGCTTAGGTTGGAAGCCATGGTGTTTGTGTAGGTTCTCAGAAAAGATTTCATTCGATTACATCAAATCTAGCTTTGATTCTGTACTTCCTTATTGGAAGGCATGTACTTGTCATTCTCAGTTTGCTCCACTCAGAAAAAGAGACGGACACTTCCTTTGTATTTATTTTGAGGATTCAAGAAAATTTGGCATGTGACTGCATACAGCAAAATGAAGTTTTCCACAGCTATAAAGAATGGCTAGAAAGGTTACTACAAAATATGCCCCAGTGTTATGCTGTAGTTGCTAAATATCAGTAACTTTTTTTGGATGTTGAAGATGGAAACCTGAGCCTCATAAAAGCTCTACCACTATGCCCATAGCCCCAGCAATAGTTTTATTGTTGTTCTTCTGTGCAATAAAATAGTGAAGCTATGTGCAATTTACCCGCAGAGTTCAAAGTTTCATTTTGAATGAAGAAATGGTGACTCTCGAAACCTTTTATTTTTCCTGAACTGATCTTGTGCAAAGCTCATCACAAAGTGGTTCTTTTGCCACATTAGCTGATTCAAATTCTTTGTGTTTTGGTTGCTGTAATTCTCTTGTGAAACCTGGTAACCCAGAGCATGAGGACATGCTAGCAAATGTTTTGCTGTCATAGTCTGTTCGGTCTGCTGTTACACAATACTAAAGACCTAGTGACCTGGACAGCAGAGGTGTATTTGCTTGCCTTTCTGGAAGATAGGGGGTACATCTTAGTTATGGATGAGGCCTGTCCCCTTGGGTTTCAGTCCTAACTCTGTGCACATGACCTCTTCGTGAGCGTGGAGAAAGACAGTCTTTTTGATGTCTCCTCTTGCGAAGGTAGGAATGCTGATAGAAAAACCCCAAAAGACCCAATTATGCATTTCTGAACTTCCGAATCTGCTCACACTGGGGTTTCAGAGTTCAACAGATAAGTCAGTGTGGGGAGGGGCTCCCTAGTACAGGTAAAGATATTCACATATTTAGTTTGGTAGTTGCTAAAAAATTAAGAAGGAATGCATGTTTCAGAACCAGTTCATCAGCCATAACCATCAGCAGGAACTTTAAAGCTTAGGAAACAAACCCCTTGGGGGGGGGGGGGCGGGATGGACATTTATTTCATGTCCTTGAATAAATGAGAGGGCTCAACATTGAAATATGTTGGTTTCCTCTAAACTAATCCCAATCGAAATTCCAGTGCAGTTTTATTAAAAACTTTGTAGCATAATTCTGATTTTTATGTAGAAAAATGTGTATCAATACCACAGAAAAGTTTGTAAATGGTAGTATTTGTCCTCAAAACCAAAACAATCCTGTGTGCAGGAGAATTATAATGGCAAGGTGTTAAAAGTGTACTAATTGCAAAACGCTGCACTGCGTGTTTTTGCATAAGTTTCCTTTCTGAATCTTCAGAATCCAGTTCCCAATAGATATGCCCATGTAACTGATGAGAATAGCTTCAGGTGTGTGTACAGCTGAGATGCAACAGAATTAGGACTCAAACCCAGAAACTCTGACTTAGTCTGTAAACACGGTATAAATTTATCCTAATGAAACGAGAATGTTAAGGATGTGTATGTGGTGCATAACATCCTATAGCCCCAGATCCCAAATCCTAGCAGAATACGTTTCAGCATTCAGAATTTTTCAGACTGAACAGAACAGGTAGCTCAGCGGTTAAGCACTTGCTTAACACATAGGAGGCCCTGGGTTCGATCCCCAGAGCTGGAAAAAAATTAATATATGTGTCTATTCTATATTACATTCCCAGGAAGTGCTAGGCCAACATTCCATAATTAACAGTTTTGCAGTGAAACATTAAAAACATTCACAAAAATCTAATATATAAAAGTTATAAATATCTTAAGAGCTTCATAGGTTTTATTGGCAAAAGTATATGTTGTCAGTTTTTACCACAAAAAATTTTTTTTCAGAGCTTTTCGTATTTCAGAACTGCTGTATTAGCATAAAGCAAAAACCACTTATGTTTCTAGCCATACATGGTGGTGCACTCCTGTAATGCTGATACTTAGGAGGCTAAGGCAGAGGATCACTGCAAGTTCAAGGCCAGCCTGAAATGTATACCAAGACTGTGTCTCAAAAAAAAAAAAAAAAAAAAACTATGTTTCTAATAGAAAATTATATATATATATATATATATATATATATATATATATATATATGTCAAATTCTGTGTGTGTATGTGTGTCTGTGTGTGTGTGTGTGTGTGTGTGTATACACTGGGGATTGAACCAGGGCCTCATGTATGGTAAGCACATGATCTAACTACTAAGCTCTCACTCCCCACCCACCAGCACCTAGGATCAGTATTTTAAAAATTTCTTTTACTTAGGTATGTTGGTTAGGTTGCTGACCTGAACAGAAGCAGATAGTCTATAAATTTGACGTGCAAATTCTGGTACTAAAATTTCTTCTTCTTGTGATTCACCTTAAGGAAACTCTTACCATATAAGACTAGAAAAATTTTTACCCAATAAAACAGAAACTATAGTACCATACTGAGCTGATGAAAAGTCAAGCTGCTGGTTTGCTGCACGGAAAACCACACATTCATCTCCATGTATCGGCCCAAAGTCCAATGGAATCACTTGATCAGACAAAGGCTCACCAGTATATCAAGGAGAAAAAAGGATAAAGTCCCCACTTCGTTTCACCATCTTTATTTTTTCTTTGTTGTCAACAAGACTGTTCTTCTTTTTTCAGTGGTGGGGCTGTTGTATAATCCTTTTACATCTCCCTAAGAGTACCCATTAAATACATAGCAGGTTGGTGGTATGATTTAATATGTGCTCAAATGGAGGAACTAAATGAGAGGAAGTTTTGTTTCCAGTATTAGGAAGAAGGATGGCTTTTGTTTTCCTCCTCCTTCCTCTTTGTAAACCACTAAACTCTTGCTAATGTGGAGTCACTGCCGGTGTTATTGGTTGGTACCACACCTTATTCTCTAAGTTACGAAATAGGAAACGGCACAGAGATCAGAACTACGTGCCCGAATAAGGAGCCATTGCCAAATAAGACCCAGAATTGCATCTTTCAACTCTGAGTGCTTTGCAGAGAGTTGTTTGCCTCACTCCATATATTGATCAATTTAATGTTTTGTTCCTTCTAATTACAGCAAGTGCCGCATCTGTGCCCAGACAGCTTGGCTGGGAAAGAGTGTAAATCCTACAATGTTAGAGTGATTGCCAAAAAGAAATTAAGATTTGAACCAAAAGACAATTATATTTTAAGTGAAAAGATGTTTCTTCTACTAAATGGAATTGGGGAATTGGGAACAAGTAAAGTTTGTTTTCAAAGAATAATACTTCTTTACTGATGAATTGTAGTACATGCTATTTAGATCTACTACAATAACGTTTTTAATTTTTTTTTTTTTTTTGTATTAGGAATTGAACTCAGGACCTTGTGCTTGCCAGACAGGCACTTACACAACTGAGTTAGATCCTTGGTCCTAAGGTGGACAACCATGTACATCTGCATGTACTTAGGCTGTGGCATTTCAGCTTTGAGCCTTTTTTCTCTTTTTTCTTTTTTGAAACCGAGAATCAAACTCACAACCTTGCACTTGCCAGGCAGGCGCTGTGCCGCCGAGCTATATCTGTCCCCGACCTCTGAGCCTTTTTTTTACCTCCCCAAATTTGATTATTATTCTCCAGATTAAATTATTCTGTTAACCCATATTAAATCCTTAGGCAGTCCAGGTTAATTTTACCCAATTTATGTAGTTACTTTGCAGCCACAAATACAGTGGATCGAAGCCTAGTGACTTCATTGTAGGGAGGAAAAAAAAGATTATTCCACAAGGTTCCTCAGGCAGGGCAGAGAATTTCCTGGTGAGAGTGAGAAGTCCCTTCCTATTAGGGTTTATAGTTAGTAGCTAGCTGTCTCCCTGCAGCAGGGGTGGCGAACCTATGTCCCAGTGGCCAAAGCGGGCCCTGCGAGTCAGCCTCATGGAGCACTCTAGCTCTAAGAGGTTCTAAGAGGCTCGCTCGTAGGCGGGGCTTCTGGGAGGCGATGTGATTCGAGGCGTAGTGCTGATTGGGCTGCTCAGAGTCGGATTAGGCAGGGAGAGGCGTGTCTCGGGGATGTGGCCGGAAAGGGTTTCTCTTCAGGGCTCCTCCCCTCGCTCTGCTCCTTGGCACCTTGTGGCCAGCAGCTGTGCCGGCTGTCCTGCCTGGGGTCTTGTTGAGTGTGGACGGAAACCTGTACCAACTGCGAGGCAGAGGCTGAGGCAGGAGGATCGTTGCAAATTCGAGACCAGCCTGGGGTACAAAATGAGCTCAAGCCCGGCCTGAACTGCATAGCAAGACCCTGTCTCAAGAAGAACAAAAAACCAAGCAAACAATAACATCGGATGTTGTGTCTCCAAGGGGAGGAAAGAAATTAAGACACCTCCCTAATGGCTTTGTGTCTAGGGGAGAAGCAGACCCAGATATTATTCAATTCAAATAAAACATCACAACTGCAATAAATACACTGAAGTAGTGATACCTGCTCCTATGAAACCGTATAATATGGAAATCTGAACTACGATCTAGTGTCAAGGTCGTACTGGGGTTCACTGAAGGGTCTGGAGCTGAGACCTGGGAGCTGAATGATAGGTAGTTTCCCAGGTGTGAAAGGAGACCTCTAGGAGGGGCTGGGGCAGCCGGCATCCAAATCAGTGAAGGCAGGAAGGGTGTGAAATGAGCATGGGCCTTCTGGGGAGAGACTACCTTGGAACACTAGCTGTGTATGGGGCAAACGTAGGAAGAAAAGAAGTCTCTCTGTTTCCAGCTGCAGATCAGTCATCGCTGACTCGGAACCCAGCTCTCTAGGTTTTGAGGTTTATCTCCTCGTAACCCAAACTACAAGCCCCCTGGAAGTGGGCAAATGAGTTCATTTGCCAATTTGCCATATCGGAGCAGAGGGACCCCACCACACACACACCCTGAATATAGAAGGACCTTAATTTATAGAAAGGAACCAACAAGAGCCGGGAAACATCCATTTATAGATTCAGTCAAGCATTGCCACACAAGGCTGGAGGGGTTGAGTTCTCCTGCCTGGGGGTGGCAGTTTACGCTTGGAGAACGTTGATTTTTACTTCTTAAAAAAACCTTAATTTTCAAAGCTCTATTTTAACCCCTTGAGGGCCAGGAATTTAGCTCAGTGGCTCAAGTGCTTGCATGGTAAGCCCAAGGTCGAATTCAATTCTCCAGCACACACATACAAAAATAAAATAGTGATACAACCTCTTGCTTGCATTTCTAGTGTTGTTTCAAAACATTGGGACATTAGTATTTGTGATAGTGTGTTGGGGTCTATACTTAGATCCTCAATCTCCCAAACGGATGCACAGCAAAGGCTCAAAGCAGTGAGACAAGCAGCCTGATCTTTAGGGCTGCAGGAGGACTGAAAGCCTCCACATAGCTCGTAACCCTGCTAGCTGACCAGCTGACTGACCCTGGGCAGCCATATTTAATCAGAACAAGCAAGGAGTTGAGTGGAAAATGCAAGAAACCTGAGCAGGATCTTGGGCGGGGTTCAAGGACCCCGCAGAGCAACAGATGATGCTAATTAAGGAAAACCATTCAGAAAGTCTCCAGCTGGCCTCCGCTGTGGCCTGTCTTGCCCCCTGAGGTGTCTCATTCTCAGTTCAACCATGCCCGGCCACACCACAGCCCTGCACATGTATTCAGCTTCAGTGCCTCCAACAATAGTGGGACTGTTGCAATCTTGGAAACATTAGCAGAAAGGAGAGTTTGAGGAAAATGTAGTTAGGGTTGGGATATTAAAAATGGTGCCTTTCACATGTGGGGAGAGAGTAACCGAGAGCAAGATCAGTGCTCCTCACTACACAGTTGCCAACCTGACACTCATTTTATCAAGGCGCCCAGCCCACAGGCTCAGTCTTCTAAAGGACTCTGTATGAGCATTTCACACAGCAGTGAGGAAGATTCCACTCAAGGTTACTGAAAAGGCATTATGTGAAAGTCAAGAACTCGAGGTGAGTTATCTCCCTGGTGCCCAGCACCCCAGCAATGAGCAGTATTCACTGCGGGGGGCTGGAGCTCTGGTCAATGCTCCACCCTCTCTGGCATCCCCAGGGAGACTTCCTATGATGGCAGCTGATAGATGTCTGGTGACCACCTTGCAGAAATGATCCCAGAGTGCACCCTTAGACCTGGGCAGGTTTCTTCCACTTCCTCCCATGTCAGTCTCTATGGTGGCAGGGCCTTAGAGTCCTCATGAGATGGTGGAGGTGAGGATGGAAAATCCTCCCATGCTGCACCTGGTAAGAGAGCTTGGGCTGAGTCCAGTTAAGATCCCTGTAACTGCCCTGCACTCAATAGCTGCCCCTCCTGGTGAGACCACTTCCTTTATACTCATACTATTCCGTATATATGATACAAATACATAAGATCATACTTCAAAAGCTATAAATCTTTATACAAGCAATAAAACATTTTAATGGTGTGATTTTAATATTCTCCATGTGGGTAAGGAATAGTGAGAGGTAGAGACCAACCGAGACCACTAGGCTTGTATAAATGCAACATGGCATGTAATATACTGTGCCTGGTACAGGCAGACAGAGGGCAAAAAGGGCGTCTGTAGGTAATAAAGAGAAGCAAGTTGTTCTTTTCACAGGGGTTGAAAGAGGGCAAGGGACAGTAGGTGGGAATGTAATGAACATGTGTTGTCAAAGTTCTCTGCTTGTCTTGCACCTCTGTAGACAGAGTCTTTGAGGTGTCCAATGTAGGTTTTTTGGTGTCTACAGATGTCCAAGGACCTGCAAAATTCCTTGTCCTGTCTTATCTCTTTTATAACATCCTGTGTTTGCTGGTGACAGCCTCCGAAGAACTGAGGTGAGTCCCCACTGAGAACAATGCCTCTGCTGGTAAATAGGTTGGGTGCTGAGAGGGTCATGTTGGATTTGAGCCTTACAAACCATTTCTGTCACTTCTCTATAAATATGCATGAATATTACATATAATAAGGAAGCAAGAGCTGAATGAATAATAACCAAAGTTCTCCTAATGGTTTTGAGATGTCATTTTTCACAAGACAGCCTGAATTATGTTAAACCAATACTCCTAATTGGCCTAACTGGAGGTTTGCCTACTTAGAGGATAAACTATCTATGCTGGGTCTGGGGGTATAGATAATGGTACAGCACTTGAAATTGGAATTTGATCCTCAGCACTGCATGCAGAAACAAAAACAAGCACAAAAGAAGAAAAAAAAAGGAGGAGGAGGAGAAGGAGAAGAGAAAAATCTCTAATGCTATTGGAAAAGAAGTATGATCACTTGAAAACTATATGCAGCATTTAACGTTTGAGCCTCAAAGGAAAGATTTGAAAACACTGGAGAAAAAAGATGACCTGAAGCAAAACAAATTTTATTTATTTAGAGAACTCCCTTTTTCTTATTGTCTCGCTTAATAGTGATGTGATGCTCTGTACGTCAGGCTTAGGCTTGGGTATCAAAAAGGAAGAATAAAATTAAAGTATATTTTAGGGCACGTGGAGGATAAAAGGAATTCTATGATTTTCCTTTTTTGATATTGGGCATATAAATCATTGTGCAGCTATTTTTAGAATTAAAAAAATTAAGTGTTTTTAGATATATTCATTTTCCTGTTCAGATTCTGTCATCCTGGGAGCAACCACTGTGCTTGGCCAGAGCACAGTCCCCTGCTTAATGAAGAGCACTTTCGACAGGGACAGGGATCTTTGAGATGATACTGAAAGCCTGTTTCTCTCCTCGCCCTGTCATCCCCCTACCCTACCCCCCTAATAAGAAACCAGGCTTCCTGGAAGCTGACTTGCTTCCCATCGTGCCCGTGGGGAGAAGAGTTCTTTCCATTTTAATTTGCTGTGAGAACTCACCCAAGCTCAGGCGGCTTCTTCCTCCCCTAATTTGTGTAGCAGACACACACTCCACGGAGCACTTAAGAACTTCCTGAGCCTGGGAAGGGCATAGTTCCTAATTAGCTGCCTGGAGAACAGTTTCACTGTGTGGAAAGCCAGTTAAGTCCTTTTGGTGGTTTTTGTGGGACCTGAGGGAGATGATACTACGTTCTTAATCAGGCAGACTAAAAAGCTAACAATTTTTAATGAGTTGGCAGCCTCATTCCTGTGAGGACTGCAGATGCAGATGTTCAAAGCTCTCAAGAGCAATTCTGGAAATCCTTGTCAACTTCCATGGGCCCAAGAAATGGTTATGTAAGTTTGGCCTTTAATTACTACCTGTGGCTCTTTTCTTTTCTTCCTTTCTTTTTTTCTTTTTTTGTACCTTCGAAACTGTTAAAGATAGAGAGGTTTTTGTTTTGCTTTAGTTACTTTGAAGTAAGGACAAAATACATTGAAATGAGATCTATTTAGAAGAGAACTTGGAAGCATTTACAATTCTCTTTTCCACTAAACTCAACACTAGCTGGTTGGAAGAATGTGATGTTTCCATATCTCTATTGATCAGCTGTCTCCTTTGGAAATGTGTGTGAAACTTTGGATTTTATTCCAAAAATGGCCATATACATAAAGACACAGGAGATTGGTATTTTCCGCCAGCACTGGGGATAGCTCCCATGGCTTCGTGAATGCTTGGCAAGTGCTCTGTGACTGGGAATTCACTGTTCAGAAGCTACTGTTTAACCACTTACAAAGTCATCATTATTTTAAAAGATATACAAAGTATTTTTTAAAATTAAAATCCTGTTGCTAAGGCAGTTGAGCTAACATCCTCTCTGGCTTCTTTATTATTATTTTGTTTTGTTTTTGTGAGACAGGGACTTACTATGTAGCCCAGGCTGGCCTCAGACTCACTATTGTTAGAATAAGCCCCCAGACTCAGATTGTCAGTATAGATAATATGCACTTAGCCACCAGGGAATCTCAGCAAGGCATTTTACTTCTGCAGAAGGGCCAAGCATGAGACAACAGGCTTGGAGGACACAGGACGGTTGGTTGCTCTCTTTATCCCTAAAGCAGAAGTAGCTGATTTTTAAATTCACTGGCTGAATTCAAAGTCTTACAGTCTAGGTTGACTACCTGGCGTGGTGCAGAGTGGGGTGGGGGTTTGGTGTGTTGCTGAGTGAGTCGGGGTTGGGTGTGCGGTTTGGAAGGCAAAGTTCTTGGCCCTTACCCTGGCAGAGGGAATGGTTAGAGAGAGATGTGTGACTTGGAATGCACGGAACTTTGAAACTAGCTGTGTTCCAGGGAAATGTACAGTCACCATTTCTTGAAGCTTAGGATATTAAGGGAGTTGGGGGTGGAGAGTTAGTAGATGCCCTGGTCATTTAAACCCCAAATAGAGTTGCTTTGATAGAGAAGCAAAGGCCATGACCCTCCCACCTCAGCTTCCTGGGTACTAGGATTACAGGTGTGCTTGGTTCTGACATCTTTTTTAAGCATGTGAATGTTACCAAAAAATACTGATGAAAATGTTAATGGAATTATTCTCTTAAACTTAAAATTAAGCCATTTGGCTTTCTTTTCCACGTTACTTTTAACTTTCTCCTTTGAAGGCTATTTTTGACAGTCATTTTTAATAGTTTGCTTGTGTATTTTTACAAGGAATTTACTCTCCTTGCCAAATCCAATTAATAGAACTCTCAGAGGCCCTGGGTTCCCTCCATGCCCAACACAGAGTCCAGAATTAGTCAGGAGTCAGGCAGGACGTCTTCCTACTATTTGGTGAAACCTCAGAAATACAGCATTTGATAACTTGCAGATTACCAGATGCTAAATTAACTCCCTGGGAATGCTGCATTTTCTGTTTACAAAGCAAAGCAAACAATCAATTCAATTAATAGCTACTAAGGAGAGAAGTCTCTTGATGGCCTTCTCTCCTGAGGGCTGTGTTGGGTGATGACCAGGCAGACAAGAGAGAATGACCTGCCTCAACATCCACTTTGGAGTTCTAGCTGGGAAGACAGGATGGACTACTTAGTGACAAAAGCCATCTACTACATGCTGCATTTCAGATCAGTGTCACAAAATTCCAAGAGTGGAGAGAACAGCTTAATAGGAGCTATTAGAGAGCTTCATGTAGAAGGCATTAGGTCTGGACAGGCAGGTGTAGGGTAGTAAGTCCACGTCAGGAACACTGGGCAAAGACCGGAGGACAGGACAAACCAAGGTACTTCAGAAGAACTTCTAGAAGTTTTTGATTCTTATTTTCTGTCCTATACATAGAGCAGAAAGAGTGTAGGTTTATATTTCCAAATGTAGGTTGTAGAAAAGGCATCTATGGCTTCACCTGCAGCCTGTGTGTGTGTTGTAACTAAGTCTGTACAACTTCATCTGGATTGTACGAAGCAGCAACGTTCCCCTAAGTGTGTGTGCAATCCTCATGAAGAAACCTTTAAAAATGATCAGATTCACAACGGCTGCTGTTAAGTATGGAAGGAAAATTGAAGCTTGAGTTCATACTCTTTTAATATAGCTGGGGTGGGGTTGGACGAAAGGATTAGGGGGCAAATACCACAGGCCAAAAGAGCACCGAGATTCAGAAAATTATTTTAGGAGTTAGACGTTTATCTAAAGCATTTTAAGCAGTAGCCGGGAAGGGATGCGGCTCATGTTACTTCTTGTTTCTTGCTAAGCAGCAGTGGCAGCTTGACCTAGAGGAGCAGAGCTTTGTCTGCATGGGAGAACTCAAAGAAAGTACAAGACACCTCTCCCCAAAGCCATTTGGCTTACTTTCCAATAATTCAGTTCACAGTGTCTTTGATATTAATGAGCTTCACTATAACTATAAAAGTTACTTTAAGCAGTATACCCAAAACTCAGTCCTGCCCCCCTCCCTAAATCCAAAGTGAATCTTGAGGCCTCATTTAAAACATTTAAATTGTTAATGTTCAATGTGGGTAAAAAATTACTGTTTTAAAGCTAGCCTGATTCTCAGATGGAATGGGCTAACTTTCACATTATTTCATAAACTTCTGTTTCTCTTTATAGCAGCATGACTAGCTACCCATCTTGAGTGTTTATAACATTCCTGGCACTGTGCTAAGCATTTTGTGCTCATTGTTTCACATAAGAAAACCCTAGTAGCAGTAACCCTCTGGGGCAGGTATTGTCTTTTTAAAAGCTATCTAAACTCGTGTAATGATTGTACGTGTTTGTGGGGTACAACGTGATGGTTCAATACATGAATTCTGTATATCGTGTAATGATCCAGGCAGGTATTATCTTGACTTTACAGGTGAGGAAGTGAGTGAAGAGTCAAGGCAGAATTCAAAGGATAACTTTCCTTCCTGCTCCTCTGCCATCTGTATTCAGCGAAGGCCCAGACATTTATATTTTCCAAAAAGTCCTCCTACTGCCTCCACCGATTTCTCTCAGAACTCTGAAAGCATCTACTTATTTATTCTATGCTTATGACAGCTAAGCATGGCTTTAGAACATGAAACTCAGAACAGCATCATATTAGTAACTGATGGGTTGATGGGGATTTTACAGCCTAACCAGAGTTAAAACATAATACAAGGAATCATTCTTAAAATTTTATATGCAGATCAGCTGATTTGATTCTCCTAAACATTGAGGTCAGTACCGTGATCATTATTACCATTGCATAATTGTGAAAACTGAGGCAGAGAAAAGTTCAATACCTTTCCTAGGGTAACATCCAGGTGTGGACTGCAGGACAATGCTCTGCTGAAAAACGCAAGTCCCGGCATTCCTAAGCACAGTGTCTGGAAAGAATCTGAGAGGCTGTATTTAAAGGAAAAGAACACAGGGCAGGGATTTAGCTCAGCGGCACAAGCTCCTGCCTGGCAAGCACCATATGGTGGGTTTGATCCCTGGTACCAAGAAAAAAAAAGTAAAGACAATTTATTTGAAGGTGGGAATGGAGGAAAAAGAGAAGACAGCTTCACAGACTGAATAGGGAGAATCTGAAAGGGACTTGCTGGGGGTTCTGGCCACCAGCTCTTCTTATAAGGTTTCTTCTCTTCTCTCTCTCTCTCTCTCTCTCTCTCTCTCTCTCTCTGTCTCTCTCTCTCTCTCTCTCTCTCTCTCTCTCTCTCTGTGTGTGTGTGTGTGTTTGGTGTGTTGGAATTTGATTGGCTCCCTGGGTTGTCTTTCCTCCTAACCTTGGATTTCTTCTGGTCATGTGACTTTTCCCTGTCCTGTGGTGGAGGGTAAGATTGTAGACTTAAGGACAGGTCACTAAGGTTTAAAGATTAAAAAAAAGGAAAGTTTATGACTTTTATGTTAGTTGGGCGGCTTGGGACTTCCCAGACCTAGTTTCTTTGCCTCTGTCAGCCTGATTGCTCAAGTCTAGCTGCCTTTGCCCTTCAAGTCTGGCTGCAGAGGTCAAAGACCACTGCTAAGTATTAATAAAGCTCAATTAGGCATTTGCCCTACCTCCCCCTACTTACGAGACCCCATCCTCACAGCAGGGGAAAGGTCAGGAGTCCTTCTCAAGTTTGTGAAGATTCTAGGGTTTGAGGATTAAAGGAGTGACTGTGTGGCACATGGGATACTCACGTGTTAGCTGTTCCTAGGAATTCTTTCCACTCTTCTCCAAAAACATTCTCTGTCTCCATCTAGTTGTTCCATCTGACCGGGGGGGGGGGGGGGTAAATGAAAGACTTTCAGTGAGCCAAATGCTGGGTTTGACAGTACTACAATTGTCATCTCATTCACCCACTCAACAAATATTTATGAAGAACCCACCATGTGCGTTGGGGACACAGAATTAAAATAAAGCAATAATCCTGTACAGGGGTTCCTTAGCTCGGTCATTACAGAGGATAAAACTGAGGTTCACACAGCTAGCTAGTTGAAGGATTGGGATTTAAATATAAATCTTTCAAACTTAGAACTACTGAGTCTTTCCCTCAGAAGAGATAATAACACTTCTGCCTATGATCCCCTGATATAACCCGTTCTCCCCAATGGGACATAGTATCTTTGGAAATTAGGAAGCTGTTGCTTCTTTTTCTTATATTTGGGTTACACTTTCTCAGTGATATTCCCATCATTTCCAGACAGTATTTATAGAAAAAAGAAGTATGATTGAAAAAAATATGGTTAATGATTAAATTTTAAAATTTTATTGCAGTAAAAAAATGTCATTAGTTCTCTCAGAATCCCCCTCCCCACTTATTCTATCATTCTGCTCAGATCCTGAAGCAGTTCTGAAAGTCCTTATTTGTGGCTTTTGTTGCACTGTCGTGATTACATTTATGACTTGCTTCAAACAAATTTACCTTTTATGGTCATTTTGGCTTTGGGGAAGAGCCAGAAGTGGTACAGTACCAGATTCAGTGAATCAGGTGGGTAAGGACACACTGTCATGTTTTCTTGGCATGTTTTACTTGGCAGCAGTGTTGGTCACACCTTGTAGAGATCCTTGCAGAAGAGGACTTCTAAAACTGTTTCAGAAAATGGGACGAAGGATGGAATGGGTATTGGGAGCAAGGGAGAGTACTCTGAAGGTGATTAATGACAGTGTGTCTCTTACCATAGTAAAGTATTCAAATTTAAACATACATGTATATTTTGATCACACCTCATGTGCCACTGATGAGCCTCTTTCCCCTCCTGCACAAATCCTTACAGTTAACAAATTACTCAGGGGAATATGGATCTGTTTGGGGTGGGATTGGGGTGAGGCGATAGATGGATCTTGAGTTCTGCTTCTTTTAGAGTTTCCAGGGTGACCTCTAGTGAACCCCCAAAGACTCTACTGTGCTCCAGGACACAGAGGAAGTCTTTGTTGAGGGCAAAACTCTGTTGGAATCAAAGAGCTTGTTTTTAGTGACATTTTGATTACTTACTCAACCAATACCCCTATATCACTTACTATGTGCCAGACACTGTTTAAAGCACTTCAAAATTCCTCTCTTAGGTCTCAATTTAAGTCTTGATTTGCCATTCTATAAGTTGTCTGATTATGATCTAATCTGACAACTTCCCTGAGCCTTCATTTCTTTATCCATTATCTGTTATGAGATAATAAAATCTCACAAATAGCAACAATCACATGAAATAAATCACATGCTAATGCTTTGGAAGTAATAATAAGTAGTAGTTATTATACCCTTTTGATAATCATTGCTCTACCAAAGATTGAGGCTTTTTCCTCCTAGGAACTGCCATCCTGTGATTGTAGTTGCTGGGGACAAATCTGAACTATAGAGACTGGGCCAGAGAGTTCAAGTTCAGAAGAGCATGGATTAGTAGACATCGGTACAGTTACTTTACAATGAGTGTGTGTGTGTGTGTGTAGTTGTATATATAATGCTTTTTCCCCAGGAGAATTTTGATGTGATCCCCTCGTTATTCCCTTGTTGAATTCTATATACCAGTACTGCAGGTCTCAGCTATCTTTGCCTCTGGGAGGCCTTCTATTCTCAAACCCACACAAGGATTCCTTCTGTGAGCCCCACAGTGCTCCAGTCTTCCGGTTCTTTTTTACTAGTAGTGTTATTGCCTAGCTCCTCAGACAGACCGTGAGCTCAGGAAAGAAGCAGTTCACATGTTAGACCCAGAAACCCTGGCATTTAACTGATAAACTGGCTTTTACTAGGACCCCAGTAAGTAGCTGGGAGGAATATCTGGACTGAAGATGCATAAACTTGTAACTCTAGTGTATTTATAGAGCTTTCCATAAAGATGCTCTAGAATATTTATCTCTTGTCGTTACCAGATACTCCTGCTCTAGTATTGCCAACACATATTCCCAAGGTGACTGTGAGATCAAGGTGGCACCCAAGTTTGTACTGCAAATACTCAGAAACTATTTGTTGGTTTCCAATTTCTAAATAACTTTTGCTCACTCTCCCTTAAGGACTTTCATGTAACTGGCTGTTCTGGATAGTATGTCCACAACGAGGCTTAAACTCGGTTTCGGGGTCTGAGCACAAATGGGACCAACAGTTGCTTTTCAGAATTCTGCCTCCTTGAAGTGGACTAGCACGGAAGAGACTAGAAGAGAAGCCACAGAGAGTTGCGTTACTGAAATTGTTCAGGGCACACAGACATCCTTGTCACTTTCAGAAGGGTCAGTGAGTATCCTCTTCACTAAAAAATTTCGTCCATTGCAAGGAGATGAAATGACATTAAGAATGAAAAGAAATGTCATTCACAGTGAAATGAAATGTCTGGGAAAGGGAAAAGGAGCCAGACGAGGACGATGGAGTTGACAGCCACAGGCAGACAGCTCTTTAGCATAAGTTAATTTAGCAGCCCGCTTGGCCCAAAAGGATGCCTGTGTCTGGCTTACACTGATGTATCAGATTCTGACCCAAGGGAAGGGGCAAGAGGTAAAAAGGACTATTTCTAAGGATGTAATATATTTTATGTACAATCACTTATGTAGAAGCACAAGAAAGACAAAGAAAGAAAGAAAGAAAGAAAGAAAGAAAGAAAGAAACGGACAAATGGTTTTATCTTTTTCAGACTCTGCCACCCTGATATGCCAGCTCCTCCTCTGAGAGGAGGGCCCACACAGTTTAGATGACAAGTTCAACTGTACATCTGTATAAATCAGCTTTTCTGATGCTAGGACACAATACTCAACACCCACAACTTAAAAGACGAGAGGTTTAATTCGCTCAGTTTAAGTCTATGGTTAACTGGCTTCAAAGCAGAGGTGTTATGGCAGAAAAGCAGGGTGGATCAACACCCTGGTGTTAGTTCCTGGTGGCTGGAAAACAGAGCAAGGGAGAGGCAATGGTACAGAGGAGTTGAAGGTCCAGACCTAGACACCAAAGCCCCACAACCCTCCCAGACATATCTAGAAGTCAACTGAAGTTCCACCCAATCTGTCACATCCCACCACTTCTCAGTTTGCTTCCCAAATAAGTCTTTTTAAACCATACTTAGTCTCCCAGGTAAAGAAAATGGTAAGCTTATAATTTTGCCTGACATAATATAGCTCCCTTGAGTGCAACTAGAAATGCAGTGATCCTTTCCTAAAGTTTCAACAGCTCCAGCCTATTTCAGAAGTCCAAACCTAAGTGCCTTCTGAGACTTGAGACAAACTCTTAGCTGTGAAACGGTTAGAATAAAAAAACAAAACTAAGTTACATATTCCTGAGATACACTTGCAAGCATAAACATTCCTATTTCAAAGAGCAGGAATGGGGATTAAAAAAAGATTTGAATCAGTGCAAGACCAAAACCTATGAGGGCAAGCATATCTTGTATGTAGTTGCATATGGAGCACATGATGGGTTGGGGAGACCCCACTCATGACCTTGCTGATTGCAGCCCACATAGCCTTTCACTTGGGTTGGCTCAGTTCATGCCCCACAGCTTTCTTCATCAAACACTTCACATGAAATTTCTGACTTCCTGGGTCCTTCACTGCTCCTTTGATTTTATTCCCATCACTTCATGCAGTGCCCTCTCAAGGAGCCCTTGCCAGGCTACCTAGGCCTTTCTCTGAAGTCTGGGTAGAAGCACCTCTGACATTTGCATTCTGCATGGCTGAAAAACCAGGATTGCCTGAATGATACCATCCATGGGAGCAGTAGCCAGGCACTCTTGGATCGTGGCTGCAGTCACCTCTGACTGGATGACTGGCTTCTGGGCAACACTTTCCTAGGCTATCCTAAGTGAGCTGGGCTCTCCGAGGCTTTCTACTCTGTATAACATCTTTCAAAGTTGTTTATCCTTTTCCACCCCTGGGAAGGAAAAAGGTGGAGTCTGACCAGTTCCTGAGATGCCTTCAAGGCATCTTTTTTATTTCTCTGACATAAACTACTTGTCTTGTTTTCAATGCTAATTTTTGAGCAACCTGCTTTTCATGGCCCAAATTTTATAGACATTTTCTTTATTATGAAACTGAAAAATGTTCAAGTAATTTAGCACTCATTTTTCCTCTTGCTTCTCACTCTAGGTTTGGCTAAAAGCAGCCACCAATACCCATCCAGCAGCTTCAAAATTACACTGTCTTGAAATTTCCTCCACCAGATTAGTCTACCACCTTTAAATTCAGCCACACACAAAGTCTTAAGACATGGACAAAACATAAGTATCTTCTTTGCCAGAATGAAACATATGTGGCCTTTCATCCAGTTTCCAAAAGAACTTTCATTCTCATCTGAAAATTCTTGAGCCTAACGTTTACTACCTGCTTTTCTATCAGCATTCTGATCTTCTGAGCTCCAACCAAAATCATTCAACAGCTTCTACTTTCAGCATTCTAGAGCTTCTCTAGCTGGCATTTTTAAAGCTTTCCAAACTCCCCTATTAACCAACCCCAAAGCCTTCTGCTCTCATTGTCAGGTACAGTCATAGCAACAGCCCCACTTCTCTAGTACCAATTTTCTGTATTAACTTTCTCGTCACTGAAACACAACATCAGACACCTACAATTTAAAGGAGGAGAGGTTTAATTTACTCATGATTTCAGTGTATTATCAGCTGGCTCTAAAGCTCTCGTGGTGGAAGGGGGTGGCAGAGCAAAGCTGCTTATTTATGGAAAGCAGAGCAGAGGAGGAGTGCCTGCCAGAAAGGAAGGGATGAGGCACCAGATGCAGACTACAAGGCCGTGTCTTTGTGACACACCTAGAGACACTAGTGACACTAGGTTGATGAAATGAGAAACCTAGAAGTGTATTCTACCAATTCTTGAGGCAGAGCCTGAGGCCAGTTAAATGGAAGTTCCACCCTAACCACCACAGTATCTCCATGTAAATGTATGAAAATTTCATTTGTAGTTAGCCAGAGGTGCAACGTATGTTTAGTTAACATATATAAGGTATAAGTATAACATATATTTTAACATGTTTAGCACATAGTTAACTTTTTGAGTCAGTCAGAAGCCAACTATATTATGTACATTTCTCTTAAAAAAAGACTTTATACTGGATATTGGTGAGTAAGACTTCTGGTTATAACTCAAACAACTCTGGTTGTAACTTTTAGCCAGGTGCGTGTGTGGGGGGGCACATTTGTAATCCCAGCACTTGGGAGGTTGAGGCAGGAGGATCTCTGTGAGGTCAAAGCCAGCCTGGACTACAAAATGAGCTCAAGGCTGGCCTGAACCACGTAGCGAAATCTTGTCTCATAAAGACAAAAAGAAAACAAAGATAAAAGGACACCTCAACATTTAAAATGCAAATAGAAGCCAACCATTGTGGTACACACCTGTAATCCCAGTATTCAGATGGCTGAGGCAGTAGGATTATCTCAAATTCAAGGCCAGCATGGGCCTTGACTAGTGACTTCAAGTTTTGAGACCTTATCTGAAAAAACAAAGCAAAAGTGTGCCAAAAAGCCTTGAAATATTTAGGAAGATGAAAAGACAACCTAGGCGCTTTTCTAATCTTAAGCAGCTGACAACACAACTCCATGAAGGTGTCTGAAACTTTCACCTTTTCTCTCTAAACATACAGAGAAGGAAGCCCAGAAGCAACTGCATAAAAATAAAATCAAGGCAGTGATGAAGACAAACTTTCACCTGAAGTGGAAGCCATTCTCCTTGAGCACCTTGGACAGAGTAGGCGCCCCCTTGTGTGTGTTTATACCGGGGCAGAACCCAGGCCCTTGAGCTGCTAGGCAAGCACCCTATCACTGAGCTACCCCTGGCCCTCTCAATTGCTTTAAATGAGAGGAGTGGCAGCTTCCACCTGAAGGAAGACCAAGGCCTTAACACTTGAAAGTGTTTGTCGTAACCATCTGGTAATTCCGCTCTACTGCCAGCTTTTGTCAGATGGTGATCAGAGGCCCAGAGAAAAGAAAGAATCATTCTGGGCAGAATGACTGTGTTGAGCCTGGTGCAGCTTCTATTTGTCCAGGTATTTATTGTCCCTGTTGCAGTCTTTCCACCTGCTTGATCTCAAAGTTGCTGGTGGAAAAAAGGAGGGCAGCAGAGGGAACATCTCACCTAGTGACAGCTGCCTCAGGCAAAAATAGGAGGCGATGTAACTTCAATTGAAAAGTGTCTGTACTCTTGAAATTCTGGACTGTAGTATGAAACAGAATCATGCCATATACACGCCAGTGGCGTGTAAAGGAAATCCAGGTGCACCTTCTCTGCAGTGAAAACCTCGTTACTTTAAAGCAAAAATAATACAATCATATTTTAAACAGTGTGCCCTGTAATCTTGACTCTTAAATGACAGGTTTTCTTATAGTGAAACACATCCATATTCAGAAATTTATTTCCATAAATATTCTGTACTCTGTAAAAGACAGAAGTAAATCACTAGCATTTAAAATATATTCAGTAAAAAATTTCAGAAACACAAGTTTCAACCAAAAGTTGCCCTCTTTGGTAAACAGCTCAATTTATAGCTTATTGAGTATCAGGTAAGGGCCCAAGCCTTTAAATAATGGGTTTCATGTGATGTATCATCACATATACACCAAACAGAAAGGAGAGAAATTCCTGAGACTTCATTTGAATCTGCCAGCTGGCTCCCAAAATGTGGGTCCTTTCTCCTCTAAGTTGCCCCAGGGCACCGCTGCACTCCAGACAGAGTTGTTTCTTTGCTCAGATAACTGGAGTTTCTCTGGCTAATGTGAAAACAAAGGAGAAAATATATTATCTGCTGTTCCCAAAACCAGTTGCCTTTTGGGTAATAATTCAGAGGGGAATAGTGAAATCAGCGACGTAGCAGACACCACCCAAAGCCTTCAGCCTGCATGGGCCTCTCTTCCCCCAGTCCTAGCCCAGCTTTGTCTCATCCCACTCTAGGTGGCCACAGGTGTTCCCAAAGGGAGCCAGCTAGGGCTGACTGCAAGCATCGCTGGAGCAGGGACCCCGGATTTGCCAGGCAATTCGAAGATCCAGACAGCTCATCAAGGTGGTGCAGGGTCTAGGAGAGGTTGGTTGGGCCAATAGCTGTTACCAGCTTGTATAGAAATATTGAACCTTTTTACAGTTGGTACAGCTGTGTTGATGGACGCTGCCATCTCGGCCTCACTGTGATCAGCACGAATGCCTTGACCTCTTGAGATCCAATTTCCCCGTGCCTTCTAGGAATAATCTTTGCCCTGCATACTTTACAGCACTGTAATGACTCACTGTCAACTTTCCCCTGGCCTCTAACAAGTTCCTTCTGAATTTTCTGAGTCATCACATACCTTGCCCCTTCTTTTCTTGACGATCTTATTGCTCTATCATCTATCTACGTACTTTTTCATACTGCTTCCTTATATGCTTTGGCAAATCACTTAATTGAGCTTTACACTCTTCCATGTCAAACAGGGTCAAACATGAGAGAGTCATGGAAGATAAGGTATAGGAAAGTTCTTTACAAATTGGAAACATTGTGTAACCATTATAGAAGAAGGCATTGTTATAATTTGTTAACTATAGGAGGATAGCTTGTCTTTAAGATTTGAAAAACTTCCATAAAGTGCATTAAAGTCACCACACCAAACCAAACCAAGGATAGAAGACTCTCCCCTTCCCCATCCCCCCTCCCTTCCCCTCTTTCCCCTCCCTCCTCCTCTCCCTTCTCCCTCCCCTCCCCTTGCCCCCTCTCTCCCTCTGTGTGTGTATGTGTGTTATAAGTAGACCAAAAAGCTGGAGAGACTTGCTAGTATTCATACATACAAAAAGATAAAGAAGACTATGTGTAATTTTTTCCATCTTTACTGGTGACAGGATAAAGAAATTGGGTGTCAATGGGAGAGAGTTTGTTAAACATGAAGAAATGTTATGCTAGTGGGCTGTTTATTTATTTATTTATTTGCAGTGCTAGCAATGGAAGCCAGGACTTTGTACATACTAAGCCAGCACTCTGCCACTGAACTACAACCTTGCCCCTCAGGAGGCCTGTTAGGGGTTTCATGTGTGACGGCTCACAGATTTGATACATAACAAGGACGTGAGAATGAGCTCCTGGGGTCAGGTTATTGGACTTGCCTGAAAACACTGAGGACATCTGCAAACTGCCACTCTTCTCAAACAAATTTACATTTTTAGCCCTTGCCAAGTTATGGCATGTGCATTCTATGCCCAAGTTAGCATTCCCATTTATTAAAGGGCTGTCGGACTGAGGATAGATGCTCAAAATTAATCTAAAACCTCATGGGTAGTTTTAAATTTGCCTGCCATGGAACAAGGGCTCAAAAAATGATATTATTATGCTAGAGGGACCTCAGCATGGTTTCAAAGAAGCACCCTTTTGATCTGGTACTTTGAGATTTGTTTGCTCTATTTTTTCAGTGTTTTGTGTACATCAGCTTCCAGCCTGTAGTTTCTCTCCCTTCCTCTTCCAACTCTTCTCTCTGCTCTTCTTTTGAGAGCAGTCCTTACTGGAAAGCACATCTTGTTTATGCTGGGTGCTATTCTCTGAACTCTCTCCAGCTCCATTACATCTTCCTTGAAGAGCAGTGACCTGGAAATGTCCAAGTGTGATCCTCCCTGCAGGCAGAGAGAGACAGCCTGAATAATGCATTAGGGCGCCTTCCGGCAAGATGACTCTGCCATGACTCAGGTGAAGGGATTTTCTCTTTGCAGATTGCACCGTCCGTGAGCAGAGACCTGTTTATGACGCTAGAGGGCACTGCTAAAACAATGTTTCAAAGGTAGACGCTCTTAACCCGCAATAAAATGGAAGAGTCCTTCAGACACGAGTGCAGATGTGGTCTGGGTAGTGTGAAGGCAACGGCTAGGATTTTGTCAAATTCCTAACTTGAAATTCACTTCTAATCTCTTCTTGCTTCTGGGTTCTAGAAAACAATCCCACCCCTCTCCAAGGTGGTAAGACCTCTACTCTGGGATGTCTGGAGCTGAGAAGCCTGCCCTGGTTTGGACAGCAGCTCTGCTCTGATGCCCAGCCTAATGCTATGCTCAAAGCCAGCTCCTGGCAGGCTCCCACCCCACCCTCAAATCTGATAAACGAGCGGCTCCCTCCCAGGTCCTTCTTTGCCTCTCCTTTCACACCCAAATAGACCCCCCTTCTTCACTTTCTTACTGGTGATTAAGAGTCCATTTGCAAAGACCTTCATTTGCAAAGGTTTTGTTCCTGTCATTTTACTTCCTGATGTGTTTCCGAATAAATTTTGTTCTATAAAATTGAAACAACAGTCGGACTCACTACATAGAGTCATTGGGACTGAAATAAACCACGGACCCACGCCTTCCCTAACACTCAGCTTTGATTATTTCATTAGATCACATCACTTGGTCTCTTGTGTTATTTATTTATTTTTAAGACAGGGTCTCATTGCACCATTCAGGCTGGTCATAAACTCACTATGCAGCCTAGGCTGACCTTGACTTGCAGCAATCCTACTGCCTCAGCCTCTCGAGTGCTGGGTTTGCAGAGCTATACCACCATACCTGGCTTCTTGTGCTTTTTAAAGTCACTTTATGATTATTTTAAAAACCTGTGTCATCTTTACTCTTTCTAGTATTAACTCATGTGTGTGTGTGGTCACCAAACGTGGAGCTTCATATATATTAGGCAAATACTGTACTAATGAGCTACATCTTTAGCTCTAAACTGTCTTGAGCCAGCAAATTTAAGGTCAGACTCATGATCTTTACAATGCCCTGGCATCTCTAATGATCTTGTTCTTCATACTCTGGACCAGCACAGTTCAAAAGAACTTTCTGTCTCCAAGGGTAGTCTGCACCACACAAACATAATGAGTGCTTCTGTTATGGCTTAGATTTAAAATGCCCCCAAGTCTATATGTTCAGAGACTGAGCCTTTGGAAGGTGATTGGGTCATGGGGAACTTCCCCCATCAGTGGATTAACCCACTGGTGAATTCATAGCTGAATGTGCTGTCAGGAGGTGGCCTGGTCAGTAAACAAGGTGGCTGGGGGTGTGGCCTCGGAGTGTAAATTCTTGCCTCTGGCCTCCCTTCTCTCTTTGCTTTCTGCTGACCTGAGCTGAGCACGTTTTCCCCATCAGTGAGCTTTCACCTTGCAGTTTCTGCCTTGAAGTCAACAAACCACAACTGAACCCTCTGAAACCGGGGGCCAAAATAAACCTCGCTTCCTTTAAGTTGCAGGTACTAAGTATTTTCTCCTAGGGATGGAAAAGTAATTAATATAACTTGAAATGTGCCTAATATGTGTGAGAAGCTGAATTTTCAATTCTATTCAATGTTTAACTGATTTAAATTCAAAACATCTACCTGTGCTGTATTCTCTTTGTTCTCCCGTTTCTGCAGATGACATTAGCTAGCTCTTAGCTAAGTTCCTAACAGCACCCAGTGTACAGACCTGCTGCTGATTCTCCCATCTTAACCAGAATCCTCTCAGCTCCGGTTCCCCATCTGGCTTCTACTATTTCCCCTTAGGCAACTTAGAGACTTAGTGGGTCCCTATGGCAAAGTAAAACATAAAAGAGTTGGGGATATTCAGTAACTGTAGTACCAGGGACTGAGTACAAAGGTTCAGTCTCAGGTAGGCGAGTGTGGGTGTGTGTGTGCGCGCACACACACACACAATCTACACTCACAGACGCCCATTTCTCTCCTCAGATTGCTTCAGGAACCTGTACTGGGAAACTGCTGTTAACAGGGCAGCAGTTTAGCAGGCTGATCCTCTTCTGGCTTGACCCAAAGGCAGCGTTTTACAGTTGCAT